TCGAAAGTTGCTGTAGTCATCAGGCATTAGTATTAGTTTAGATTGAGGCTGTTTATTGATACTTCGTTAACTGGATGATTTCTTTGACATTTCTTTGAACAGGTTGTTTAAAGTAGTTGCTGGTTACTTTTCTTTTTGAGTTGAATAAGGCAAAGCTAAAGGCTTGAACTTATAGTTGACTAGTTGAATAATTGCAATGGACTTTAACACTGACTGCTTTGAAACTTCAAAAGCACGAGTGGCTTGCGAAATGTCGGGAAGAAATTATTTTTCACTACGACATAAAAACCCAAAAAAACTCACCAAATTCAAGCGATTTCTCTGATGGTGCCGAAAGTTTCAATTTCCGGTTTGAATAAGATTTTCTCTTTTAATCCCTTTCGTTGCTTTGTACGTTTGGATTCTCGACGGTCGATGTTTCTTAGGTGGTCGCATATATAAAGAGAGCCGACTTTTATAACTTTTGACTACGATTAACTGAATATCTTTAACCAATCAATAATCGAGTAGTAACAGTATATTATTTTATAGTTATAACAATTAAATCTAGGCAGTTTCTGTGAGAATAATATTTTAATTGTTAGGATCGTCCCGCGGGAACGAAGAAAAATATTACTCTAATTATGTAAATATGTGCTAGTTGCGGTACTGGTACTCTTTGAATTGAGTTCTCACGATCCCGCACAGATCTTCAATCTAGAACGATCTTTTCCCGTGAAAAAAAGAACGTCTTGCCAAGTCACAGGATTTGTGCATTCAATGCAAACGATTCATTCATTTTGACGAAAAGCATTTATCAAACGCACAAATGGATTTAACCATGATACTTTAATTTCCTGTTTTTGCCAATTGATACCGATTTCCGATTACAAGGCACAAAACTGGTACTGACGTTTCTAGTTCAACCGGAATTTCCTGACATTGAATTCGCATTAATTAAGATGAACCCCCGAGAAGACTTAAAAAATAAAAAATGTTGCAACAATCGAAAGTAAGAAATTATTTAATCACCCTTCTGATCTAATAAATTTTGATTTTATGGCACTAGCGACTGTGAATTACAGTTCTCACTTTGAACGGGCAATAAAAATGTAATTTAACAGCTATTTTATTAGATCTTAATAACCACCTAATAAGTCAATCAAATCATAAATTATTTGAGGATTGAAGGACGATTAGGATGAATATGAGACTTTTTAAGAGAAGCGTTAAAAAAATTGAACTCTTAAAGTTACATCGATCATGCAATAAAATGCCTTGCACATTTGAAATCATGCGTTAATATTTTGAGATCGAGCCAAATACAAACAAGGGCGTGCCGTAAAGGCACCGCAAAGAATTTTAAGTACCATACACAAATAAACTTTACAATTATGGTAGTACTGACCTGAGGCCCAGTGCCGACTAATTATTCATTACGTATTCGTGTTGCGTAACTTATTATTATAACACACTTTTGCTTCCAATACGGAGCTTGTCTAGTTTTATTCATGTAGGCAGACAATAGTAAAAATCAAAAGAGCTGAAATTTTGTTGCCATTGCTTGAAACTGATGAGTTTTTCCGGGCCTTTTAAGTCGTCATGGAACCGAATTCCTCAAAGGTGTTTAGTTCGTTAGCCTACACGGGACTGCTGTCGATTAGTCCAATTTTGCATGCCTAATTAATCAAAAGCCGCATCTATATTAAATTGAAATTTAAAAAGTATTTATTTTGGGCTCTTCTAAAAGTTTCGATTTTCAGTCATCGGGTTTTGTGTTCGTGTGGTCTTTGCACCCGGAGTTTACCATTTATTACTTGAGAAGTCAGAAAATCGATTTTAAAGGCATTAAGTTAGACAAAGTCTCTTCTATAAGACAACGTTTCGATGTATTACTCATCATCACGCAATTTTCGATTTTTTTTCAAAATTGCGTTTGGTTTACGAGATTGTTTTTCAATGTCGGAGTTTGGCATTTATTATTCAGGAATTAACGAAATGAAGTGACTCGCTTTTGCATGTATTTTGTAGGGCAAAGGATGTTTTATAAGTGACAAAAGTTTAGATTTTCAGTCATCAGCAGGCAATTTTTAAGAAATTTTCAAATACACATGTTATTTTCGCGGATATTTAAGTTTTGACATTTATAAACTTGCAAAGTTCGCGAGTCACTTTTGTATCACATCTGTAGTGCAAAGTCTGCTCTATAAGTGAAAAACTTTTCGATTTTCAGTTTTCAGGATTGTTTTTGTGCGCTTGTTTATGCACGCCGGATTTTAACAGGTATTTACTTGGATTTTCTTGTTTCCAGTCTGCTTTATAAGTGGCAAAAGTTTCGATTTTGAGGCTTTTTTCATCCCGTCAAGATTGTTTTAAAATGTGCCTTAGAATTTTGTAGTGGTTGGTGCAGGCCTATGTTTGGCATTTATTTTCTCTAAAACCAATAAAGTTGGAAATTCACTTTCGGGTGCGTGTTGTAGAGCAAAATACGTTCTATTTAGGGAACAAGTTGCGCTTTTTACTCATTCTCAGGCAATTTTTTAGATTCTTTTTTGAACATGCTTTTGATTTCTCAAACTGCGCCTGCAAGCCTCAGTTTGCCAAGTATTTTCTCAATTATAAAATGAAAATAGTATCTGTTACAGAAAAACTGGAATTCTGGATGTTACCTTTTCGTGTCTGTTTGTAATCGATTTTAGATTAACTAACACTCGATTGGTATTTGGCTATTTTTTAAGGAGCTTTATATTTTCGAAATACAGTCAATTAGGTACGGATAATAACCCTTTGGGTTTAGTTGTAAATTGAAAAAAATGTGATTGATTGTTTGGAAATCGTGCATTTTCCCTGATAATAATCATAATCAATCATTGCGGTACAAGAGCAAAACTTGTAAAATGATTAAGGCAGATTAATAATTTATTGTCTTAAGCTAACTAATAAAGTTTACTTTGATCAAGGCTATTGAATGATTTACTTGCTATGAATTATATTACATAACCAGTTGGTTTATGTGGCTTATTTTTCGCTAATGCCCTAAAAATTATTCTAGCTGGCGTAACGATCAGTTCGAATTTGCTTTGTTGTGTTTAAGTTCATTTATAAGCTAATTGATTATAATATTTAACTAATTCAAATTGTTAAGCCTGAGATTATCATAAGAATAATAGAAATTACTTGACTGGCTCTGCATCGTCAAATACACGCAAATGTTCGGTATCAATGTCAGGAACATAATTTAAAAATAATTACGGTCGCATACCTTCATAGGTAACACGCTAGGACTGATAAAAACATGTTGGAAATTTACAGATATTTAGGATAATTCAATTTTGATGATGTCGATTTTGTCATTAAGACTTGCTTAAATATTTTCAAGTTTAATGCATTTTTCTTCTAAGTTAAATCAGTAAATACGATTATCTGAGAAAACCAATTTTAGATATGAATATGTTTAATATTGTTTCAAGTGCACTTCAAACTGTGCCAGATGCATTTAATGAATGCGTTTATTGATTTTCAGCGTCAGTATTAACGAGCAGAACCTTTAATTGCACCATTTCAAAATTCCCGCACTTAGCAGGTTAGCAGAAAAAGGCATATTTTTATTATGAATAAGTTTTTTACTAGTTTTTTAATTAGTTAATTTCTGAGGTTGCGAAAATGTAACTTACTCTTTAGCAACTAGGTACTCATACCCTGATATTTCCTTAACCGTTGAGAATTCGAAAAATAATACTGTTTGTTTAAAATTACTCTACATTAGTAATTCATTTGCGAAATATCTGGGATACCTTGGCATACACGCTGTATATGAATTAGGTAGATGCTTATCAGATTATCCGTCAATAAAAATCCATGATGTCACTAAATTTAATTTTCTTTATCACCAGCCCATTGTAGTACCAATTAAGTAATTCTTTAAAATAATGATTATTACCAAATCATAAAATGAGAAATTCTATTTATGGATACTTATTTTCAATTTGGTGATCTCTGAACGTTATGTAATCATTTCCAATCCTGTCAAAATAATTGAAATTCAGACTGCTAATATCTCGGAAACAACTTGATACTGATTTAATCTTTCACCTGACTTTATCGAAATCATCCTTTCAATTTTTTTTCGTTAAGATTATACGTTTATTTGTTACGGTTAAAACTAGAGCTGCATCGGGCGGAAATATGCCAACCGAGTCAAATCAAGGCACCCATTTTTTTTTCGTTGAAAAACTAGGAGTTTGTCTTTACGATGACGGATAGTACATATCCGCACTTAAATGATAAAAACCCAACGACATGAACAAAGGAGAAAGTGTTGACATAATGGCTAGTCATGAATAATTGGACAATTGCCATCATACATAAGGAATTCATTGGGAAATCGTCAGCTTTTGTTTCCTTGCTCATGCACTTCCATTAATAAAGTCACTCTTATTTAAACCAAAGGCTTACAATTTCGTTCTGTATAATCACAATTAATTATAAAATAACAATAGCTTTTGAATCTGATTTGTGCGTCTTTAGTCAAATCGCTCAAAATTATTAAAACATTTAATTTTATTTTACAAGGCAAACTTTTGGGGCCTCGCCTCCAGAGTTGCGATGTTTCATCCTTCTCCCTCTGGCTAAGATAATTAAATGAAGTAGGAAAACGTTGTGAAAACTGGGTGGAGCTTCATGAAATTTAATTTCATTGTACTGTCTAAATGATAAATTTTCAACTACATTTATCCATAAGAGGGCCTGATATATTTGTATTTAAGGTCATGACTAATACTGATTTAATCTTTTCTTTTAGCAATTTTATCCACTTTAGGGCTCAATATTTCAAGTGAACTTTGGAAATGAAAATCTGTAATCGTTTTAATCGGGATGATTGAAATTCATTTTTTTCCTATTCATCTAGCAAAAAATTATCATTATTTTGTCCCTGTTTTGATTAGCACTTTTTTTAGTTTCTGTGAATATTGTCGTGAACTTAATATACATGAGGGAAATAAATGTTTTTTTTATTGCAGATAGACAAAAATGGAGACGGACATATCGATTTAAAAGAACTGAGAGAAGCATTGGAACTATGTGGCTTAAAGATCGCTGGATATCAATCCCGCTTAATAGAAGAAGAATTTAAAAACTCCAACAAAACAAAGATAAATGGAAAATTAACGTACGAAGAATTCATCAAGCTTATCTGTGATCTTAGAGCAAATGAGGTAGCGAAAACCTTCAGGACGGCAGTATCGAAAAGGGAAAATCTTCAGCATTTGGGAGGCACATCTCATGCTTCAAACGATGGCACAACCCATTCGGTTAGGCTGGAAGAGCAGCTCGCATTTTCCGACTGGATTAACTCCAATTTGCAACACGATCCCGATTTGAAGAAGTTATTGCCAATTGACCCAGAAGGAAAGCAGTTGTATGAGAAAGTCCAGGATGGTATTTTGCTATGGTAAGCGTGGCGAATTATCAGTTGTTGCTGTTACGCAGTCTTGTTTTGATATTTGAACTTGAGGCCGTCCACAAATTAAATGAGCTTGTAAAACACACGACATTCTTTGATATTGGCACCGCAATTGATTATTGACACTATTAGAGCAGTTTGGAATTCCAAACAATTTATCAATCACTATTCGAGTATCTACATTTTGGACAAGTTAATACCCAATTATTTCGTGTGTGTTTTACTTATCAATAATTAAGGTTGGAAAGTTGAGAGGAAATGCCTGTTATCTTAACGTGTACTTGTTCTATCAGTAGAGGGAAACATTGGAAAATTTGCTATGATAATTGCAGTTTTATGGCCCATCAGAATATATTTGCTTTCGCGTCAAACAGATTACGATTTTTTATTATAATGTCCAATCTCACTTCAATCACAAGTGAACGAAAACCCATTGTTCCTCATCTACCAGGTAAACTGCCTTCGCCGATTCGACTTCCAGAATATCAATCATATGATCATGAACGGGAAACCTTGAGCGTAGTTTTGCTTCACAACACTTCAATTGCAGCGAACTGTAGCTCTTAATTTCACGGTGATGGTTTTCAAAGATTTGGCAATAGAAACGTTTTACAAAGTCCGAATACGTATAATTTTAACGGTTTGCTGGGTCAATGATTTCTCAACTGAATTTCCGAGTGTTACAACTTTTGTCTTCGAGATTTTAGATAGGAAATGGCTGAAGAAAGCCCAAGTGCGTGGTGGAGTAACTCTGCTACTATTCAGCTCAATTGAATCATTTGCTTGGTTCCAGTAAAATCATCAATCATTCCTGCCCAGACACCATTGACGAGCGAGTAATCAACAAAGGAAAATTGACACTGTATACTAAACTAGAAAATTTGACTCTGGCGCTCAATTCAGCCTCTGGAATTGGTTGCAATGTGATCAACATTGATGCGCACAGTTTAGAGAAAGGAACCCCTCACCTGGTGCTGGGGTTGCTGTGGCAGATTATTAGAATTGGATTGTTCAACCAAATTACACTGGAACACTGTCCAGGATTGACCACTCTGCTTGGCGAAGACGAGAAGATCGATGACTTGATGAAACTGTCTCCGGAGGCAATTTTGCTGAGATGGGTCAACTACCATCTAGAGCGCGCAGGTAAGAGTTGAAACCTGCAAGCTTCTTTCACCTGATTTGTTCATGTTTCTGCAGGCACTCACAGGCGAGTTACGAACTTCCAAAGCGATATCGTTGACTCTGAGGTCTACTCCTACCTGATCAAGCAGATTGCACCAACTGATGCAGATGTGGACATCAGTGCTTTGAACGAAAGGGACTTGCATGAAAGGGCCGAAATTATGCTTCAGCAAGCTGCCAAATTGAAGTGCAGATCATTCGTAACACCGCAGGACGTTGTCAATGGAGTCTACAAGCTCAATCTGGCCTTCGTGGCAAACTTGTTCAATAACCATCCAGGGTTGGAACAAACCAATGGTACTATTGATGGATATGAGACTGTCGAAGAAACGAGAGAGGAAAGAAGTAAGTGATTTTGAAAAAATATACACGCACAAAATCAGAAGTTGACATATTAAGGCTTATCCATATTTTAAGTGCGTTCATTTTTGCTCTGGTTTAGTTTGGTGTGCGAAAACATATCGATATGACGTTGAATGCAATCTATTAAAGTAAAGCCTCGAGATTTATTGTTGTGTGGTGTGTATGGTATGATAAATATCGGTATTATCTGCGGTTACCTTGTGAGATTATCTGCAGATATTTATACAGTTTTTTTCCCTTAAATTGAAACAGTCAAAGTTCTACCAATGGATTAAACAAATGCTGTTTCGTTAAATTCTTTGATGAATCGTACCCGCTTTAGGATGTATCCTCTCTAAAATATCGTCAATTTCCAACTGATTAACTGGCTAATAAAGCAATTTATTTATCGGCAATTGCTTTTACGACGGAAATAAATGGATAAGCATATCAATGTGTTGGGTTTCTTTAAGCGGTGGTTTGTAAACTTAACAGAGTTGCAAATGTGGAATAAACAGTTGCAGGAACTTCGGAATATTAAATCTGAAATTTTTAAGTCTGTTCAATTGCAACAAAAAATTGTTTATTTCAATCTTCAGTGTTTTCTTTTCTTTCTTTCATCTTCTATTTCAATCTTCGACTCTTTTGACTGCCGCTAATCCTAACGTATAATATATTGATTTTGATGGGTATTCCTAGCCTTACGGCCTAGACGGCGCTTTAAAGTGCTTTTAGCAAAGCGCTCAGACTTAACTTTGTAATGTTGAAGTTTTTTTGACTCCCACTTGATTCAGTGCATGCTATCTTTTTTTTAAATTTTGATAATGTGACAACTCTTTTAGTATATAAAGTGCTGGCACTAATAGAGGTCATGTTAGTTTGGGTTAGTTTATAGAGCAGATTGGTTTTTACGCCGAAGAGATATTTGTAGAAAACGCATATTTGGAAAAATAGGTTTGCAAATGAGAGATGAATGTTATTACCAAATGTTGCACAGCAATTTCAATACAGTTACGTGTTTCAGCGTTTTGAAACAAATTGAATTTTCTGCGGGACATTTGAATCGCCAGATTTCTCGATAGAATCTTTCAAACCCTCCAAACTTATGTAATATTTTGTTCCAGCCTACCGAAACTGGATTAATTCGATGGGAGTTTCTCCGCATGTTAACTGGTTGTACTCTGACTTAGCCGACGGCCTAATCGTCTTCCAATTGTACGATATCATTAAACCCGGCGTGGTAAATTGGGGCAAAGTGCATCGAAAATTCGCAAACGAAAGAAAGAAGTTTATGGAGAAATTGGAAAACTGTAACTACGCCGTCGAATTGGGCAGAGACCAAGTGAAATTTTCGTTGGTTGGAATTGGAGGCCAAGATATTAACGAAGGCAATGTGACTCTGACCCTCGCTTTGATTTGGCAATTGATGAGAGCCTACACTTTGTCCATTTTATCTCAACTCCATGAGTCTGGAAGTCCGATTGTGGAGAAGGAAATCGTCAACTGGGTTAACGCCAAACTGGCATCTGCTGGTAAGAAAACATCCATCAGGAGCTTCCAGGATCCCACGATTTCTGATGCGAAAGTTGTTATTGACCTCATCGATGCTATCCGACCTGGCGCCATTAACTATGACTTAGTGAAAACTGGCGGCACTGAAGAGGTATGTATTCTATTATAATTTCATTGGCATATAATTCTGATATATTCGCGTGCGAGTGTCCCGATTTAAAGATTGCCGTCAGGGTTGGGCGTGTTTTCGAAAGAAGTTAACAAAAGCCATTGATTTGCTTTCTTAAACGCGTTGAAGAACTGTCCCAACTTGTCATACTTGCATTTAATGTATGCCATATATTGGGCGGATGCATTTTACTGCCTCCACACGGGAATAGCAGGTGTGGCAAATTAATTTTTCAAGTTCGGAGAATGTGCAAGTGGGACTCTATTAGTCCTCAATTTTAAGCACAACAGCGGATTGTTAGGCCTGTGAGGAACAGTCGAGCTCCTAAATATATTGCAGGGCTTTGCCAAATCTATCTTAAGCTGCTGCGGAACAGTTTGTTGCAACTCATGCTTATACAAAGATTAAACAAAGGTCAAGTGATTATATATTTAGACTGGAGTCTTTCACGGCTGGTCAAAGTATCGGTTGAAAAGTTTTCCAGGTTGGTAAGTGGTGGACAATTAAAATTTTGGTTTTTCGTGGCTCCCTCAGTTATATCTGCATCAAAAAGCGTCCAGATTGTACCAAATACCTCAAACAACAATTCCTTTGAAACAGGAGGAAACATTAAGTCTTGGATGAAGAAAAATAAAACATTAGATCGGCCAGAAGTGGGATGAAGCTAGTTGGGGAGTTTCCTACAAGAATTTTTTAAAACTACATACAAAGAAGGATTGGCGTTTAAGCTTTAAGAAACGGCACAATTTATGTTTGAAGAAACCGCAAAGCGAGACTAGTGGTTCATGTTGCAGCTCTTCTCAAGATGCTTCTACAACATCAAGGGTGGGCAGTTCTCAAATTGAGCGAGCTTTGATTCCAGAAACAAGTGGCGTTTAATAAACTCTTTCACGAAATATAAAACAATCAACGACACCTCCAAAGGTGCAAAAAAATGCCCGTGGAGCTGCATATTTCAAATTCTCTTGTGCTTCTTGAAAATGAGGCTGCACTTAATAATATCAAAACCATAGCCGTGCATAATTTGAGTTCTCACTTTGGGAGCGGAAATAAAGAGCTAAATGCAAATAGACAAATATGTGATAATGATTTTCGTTCTAGGGAAATTTGGCGAATGCGAAATACGCAATTTCCATGTCACGTAAAGCAGGAGCAAGAGTGTACGCCCTTCCAGAGGACATAACTGAAGTGAAGCCCAAAATGATAATGACAGTATTTGCATGTCTGATGTCTTTGGACTACGTTCCCAATATGGACAGCGCAAAACGGCAATAACTACTTCATTTAATTTATTGTTTTTTTTTAATCTTTATATTTTATACTATTAAATAGTCATTTAATGTTACAATGTATAACATTCCAAATTTCTTCAAAGCTGCATTTACATTCATGGTACATTACGACTGTGTTTAGGAGTCATTTTCTAATGCCTATAACTCCTGAGATTGGTTTCGAGGTTGAGTGTAAATGTACTTTCAAATTTTAACTAGTCTGAGGAAAAGTATTAAATGCAAAAAATGTTTAAACATTCCTGTTTGGGTTATGGTGCAATAATTCTTTCAGTTGGGCTGTTAAACAATGACAAACACAGTAAAATGTACAAAACGTCATCAAATCTGCATCGTTTGATATTTCATATTAAGTTTCGCAGTAATCCTAATTTATTTTTATATAAATTTCATTTGTTTAGATTATTGGCTCTGCAATACCAATTCAAGTGCCATTTACATCATAGGTGTAATATTACGGAGTGTATAAAATAGTATTACAGTAATATTTATACTTTGTGTAAATTTGTAACTTTTTCATGTACACTGGTCATTTGCTTTATTAAATGAAAAAGTATTCATACCCGCATTTCAAGATTAAACACTTCGTCAAAAAATCCATTGACTTTTATGTAATCAACTAACTGGTCGACTCAGCGCAGCAAATGTTTATAGTTAGTAGCGGTTGAGTATGCGCAATAAGCACAGTATCTAATCCGTTGTTCTGACAGTCGTTTCGACTCGTCAAAAAACATGAAAATTAAACGCGAAAAAAACCGTTTCAGTGCCCCAAATTCCGTTTAGCTTATATGTAAATTGTGAGATATCAATTGAATGTTGTTTTAAAACACGAGTTTTTCGTAAAATTTTCGAGATGTGATGAAAAATGTGATTCGGTGCCCCCATTCACCTGTTGCTCGAATCGATCTTTTGGAGTAACTCTTCGATTGCGAGAGATCTGAGCTCCTGGAGTTGGAGTCGCCTCAAACAAACGGATGCTTTATGCTAGGTGAGTTATCGATTTTTATTCGGAGTTTAGAAACTCCGTCGGATGAATCATCGTCCGCTTTCCCCATCGTTTCTCTCATTTCCTAACGGGTTTTAAAGCAAAATTATGTTCTAGTTTCTCATTACCAAACTTAAAAGGGTTCTTTTAGCTTCTATAACTTGGCCACATGAGTTAAAGTCAGGTGCATCTCTGTATGTTTTTATACAGTGTAAAATAAATCAAAAAAATATATACGAGATCAGTTATTTTAGAAATTTCAGATTTATTAGCTGATGAGAACCATGGAACGTCGCAAATATAAAAATATTTTTCGAAATTTCTTTGATTTAAGGCTTTGCTCATTTTCAACGTTTGAAATTCAACTAGCTGGGCGTAAGCATTTGTGCTTAATTTTAGTTAAATGTTTTAAAATAATAGCTGGATCCATGTTTCAATTATTTTGAATAAAAAAGGAACCGCAGTTGTCTCAACGGCAACAATTTCTTAAATTACCTTTACTTTCGGGAATCATACTCCAGTTAAAATATTGCTCTTATAAGTCTTTCCAACTTTTCACTTAGTCTACAACTTCTCGAGAAACTCTCGGACATGCCGATCAGCATTCGTGAATGCGCGAAATCGAAATTTTAGATACATTCTCACTGAGACACTGACACTGTGCGATATTGGATTTTAAATGATATACCCTGTATAATCTGCTATTTTTGGATGTTATGAAAGAAACTGAATGCTTTTTATCATACTGTACTACGCGTTAATTGAATGGTAACTATTCAGAAACAGCCCGAAATACCTTCAATATAATTCGATTTTCTTATTGAAACTTGTGTGGCGAATCAAGCTTTTCATAAACGTCTCAAATGAAACTCTTATACACTAATTGAGTTTCACCACTTTGTCGAAACTTTATTTCATACCTAATGCGCGTTTGGAACAAAAATTAAAAACTTTTGCGGTTTGTGTTCGATTCCTGGGCCTCGAGGTCGATTTCGCTATCTGCTGGGACTTCCTTGTGAATCGTTTGCAGTTCAGATGGTTCAGTTTATTATGTTGTACTTTCATTGCAATCCATTGTATCCTATGGCCTAAAGATCTTTTACTTTGAGTTTATTTTCTGGCAATCTTCGTCTTGCAGCCTTTGTCTCAGAAGCGAATAATTGGATTGGATTTGCAGCATTTGTTGCATCTCCGACCGAGGACTTCCTGCTATTTTTACCGGTTTAAAATGTCTACTTTACCATTAGGTACTGTTCTTTGCGACCTTAGTGATAATCGTGAAAAAACTCTTCTCTAATAAGAATAGCTTTTATTCACAAAACATTTCTACAGCTTTTCCTAAAATTACTACTAGGAACTTTTTGAATTTGCAGCCCCTGTATTATTAAAATAAAACTTGTTACTGCTTCTAACTAATTTATTAATGTAAAATTGTATGTGGTTGTGTGTTGTATATGTTGTATTATAAGGATTCAATTTTGATTACATTGTTTGGACTAGCAGCTATAAATAATAACATTTTACTTAATTAGCCACTGTACCGTACCAATAACCACTTCAACTATAGAGAATATCAACAATATTTACCTTATTTTAAATATATTTTAACTGACCATTACCAAGAATTTAATTATTACAGAATATACAATAATAATAGACTCAAATTTTTTACTAATAGTTTTGGAAGTAGTTTTTATCCGAGTTAAATACAATATGAAAAATTTCACCTTTGCTATTTACACTTGCTGCAAATTTCCTGGTTAAGTATAAAAATATATTTGAACATTCATGTGCAGATGCGAACTATTCTCCTTTATTGGGAAATATTGGTGCATTTTTTACTATTATCGGAGTATTTAGGCCCGAGTTTGATGCAGAGAGAATAGCATCCGGCTCTGGATTGCTCACCTCATTGTTTAACTCCCTAACGTCAATCAGGTCGGGAAAATCTATCAAATTGAAATTTTCAGAAATTTTACTATTTGCAATATTTCAAGATGTAACAACTATTGCCAGACCGGTGGTTGGCCAACAATTGTTGGTTTTAACATTTAGTGCCTAACAAATATCGAGATCCCATACCTTCTTCCTCTTCTGCAGGATTTTCTTTGTCAAGTATAGTATTCTTAATTCCGTACTGGGATTCGTTTTCAGAAAAAAGCTGAAATATTACAGATATGTTGTTAATTGCCACCGCTAATGGTGACATGCATGATAAATAACGCATCGAGTTTATATTCGACAAAATTGCAAAAACAGTTTCGACATGGTTTTATCAGCGATTGGATTAATTGCAGGCGAACTGAAACGTTTATTAATTTCCCTGTACGTGTTAAGATTACCGTTAATAACAATGAATGACAATTTAAATAGCGCGTTATCCACAGGCAACCAAACTTGCTTAGTTAACACTGCTCAATAAGTTATCTGATGTGTAAGTGTAGGGGCGGGGAATTTTGAATACAAACACTTTGATGCTGATATCAGTAACTAGAGTATATTTGTTAAAAAAATGGGATCTTACCCCAAGTAGAGTGCTGGGATCGAACGTAGAGCAGCCATTCAAGATGTCCTTTAATTGATCTAATTCCGTCTGAGTGCTGTCAACATGCAGATCCAGGTCAGTCCTGAAAGCATTAGTACTTCGTGTACTAACGTGAGCAACCGTATTAATATGCTGAATTGAATCTAGAAATTAGGCTAAAAAGTGTGCTACTGCTTTGTGTTTTCGTTGAATCTCTAAAATCGCTTGGTGTTCCGCGAATAATAATTTAAATAGCCAATAGAGCACAAAAATTAGCCTGCAAAGGACAAGCAAATAGCGCAAATAATATTGTCGCGTATTGTACAAATATCTACTAACTCTGTATTAATGTTGACATTAGATTCCTTCTTCGCCACTTTCATGTTAGCTTCATCCACAGGGTCTCCTACTTGATTATTGGAGCTGGCAGCTGGTTTTCCAGCAATTGCATTGTATGTTTCAGTATTTAGAAGATTTCCAATTAGTGCATCCCGACTGTTTGGATTTAGGAACACTTTCTCCGATTCTCTATTCTTCTGTAATGAGTTGATTAATTCCTCATTTTCAGTCACTTCGTCATCTAGAGCCTACTCATAAGAATTTTAATAAGTCAATTTATTTTCAATGTTACTAAGCTGTCGTGATCATACCGCAAAATCGGATTCATCCCAAAGTGCTGATTCGTTTTGTTGCCAGCTAGTTGCTACATCACTTTGGTTAGACGACGCTGGAGAGCTGACTGGTTTCGCTGAAAGACCTTCGTTGGTTCCCTGGGAACTAGGAGTAATGGGACTGTCAATCTAGAAATAGTAAATCAATTCTACCGCGAGCTTTCTTAAGTTGCTCCAGTGCATTTCTCATTTCCACAGGAAAGTAAATTCCCCAAAATAATACCCCTTGCTCATGAAACACCGCCTACTGTTCTTATCATCATAAACAGACTAAACACTTCGCAAAACATCCTATTAAATCCATGCTTTTTAGCAGCACAGGTGCGAGTTTCAAAATTGCGATGAACAGAGGACCACCGTCTAACTCTAATATTTCAGTTGCTAAGGCTAAAAATTCCTAATCTAATTGGCTCCCGATATTTGTATTTTATAAAGCCGTAAAAAAGCCAAACGATGATTCATGCCGATCCATTTGTGGTTACGGAGGACTAGATAATGAAAGTAAAACTATTAAAATATCTCATACCTTATTAGGTTTGTCCATATTAGAGACTGCCATTTCCTTTTAAAAAAGCAAAGCTATTAATTAACATTGAAGTTAATCCCACATAACATATCAGAATTTAATGGAAAATATTGAAACCGTTGACATGGAGGGTTTGTAAGACCTTTTTATTATTATTCGTTAAATAATTGCGATTGAATGAAAAACTTACCAAAGGAATTTCTTCAATGCTAGAAGAAGCTTCATCAAGTAATTGTTCAGGAAACAGGTCAGTATCCGAGTCCAGTTCGTGAATCGTTGGGCCTGGGTCGATATTTTGAAGACCATTTTTCTTACTACCTCTGGTTTTCTTTAGGGAATGCTCGTGAAGCATGAGAGGCATCCGTCTTTTCACACCCACACCCATTCTCGATTGAGGGCTTGGTTGAACCAGAGTAACCAGGAATTGAATAAGCTAACATATATATATATAAATTAATGTTGAATTAATCACGTAAAACGGATTCACTTGCAACCTTATTGACGATTTGCTGCTGTTTTATGTGTTTCTGTCGCAATATGGCCAACTCTCTCCACAGAACAGCATTTTCCTGTTTCATTGCAGATAATTGACTGTCGACGCTTGATTGTCTCCCTCTAAGTTGTTTCACATCAGTTAGGGCCTTTTTTAGATAGTCTGGAATAATTATGGGTTGCTGTCCTTCGTTAGGTTTTGCAACCTAAGTAACAAATCAAGCTCTGTATGTTTGTTATTTAAGCGTTCCTTCTATACCTTTCTTTTAATTTCTTTTAGCTTTTCTGGCTCATCTTTTTGAAAATATGGATGATAGAATTGAATACTTTGCGAATCGCTTTTTTGGGCTGATGAAAGACTTGCATTTTCCAGGCTGGTGATTTTATGAAATCCATCTGCAAGTAGGTTTAATTTAAAATTACACTTATCATCCGATTGCAGTTTTTTCGACTGAAATTCAACTCAAGGAATTTTTCATCCTAATCTTATAATTACTTTGTCTAAGACTAAAATATCATGTCAGCATTGGCTAGTTTTCTCAAGTCCATATAGTTTTTATATTCTTCGTAGTTTTCCTAATAAACCAAGATTTCATTGATTATCTGTCGCTGCATGTTTTCACACTTTTTCACACTCTTTCATCGACTCTGCTTTCCATACGAAGGAAGCAATTGGAGTCTCCTATGCTGGGTTTTCAAAAAACGTTCATTGCCAGTTGCAAAGGTTCCCGTACAATTACACTGATGATGAAAATGTGTTCTGTGTGTTTAAAAAGTTGGACAAAACACATCTATTAACCGGTAAGAAATAATACCTAATATATCAACTGTCGCTAAAAAATCAGCTTTACAGCCAATCGTTGTTAGCCAGCCATTCTTATTATTACTTTTGGGAAAAATACGTTTTGTTCATGAAGTTTTGCATGTTTTTATGCCGCGTACAGACCTAACCAGCCGATCCTGAGCCGCAGTTGATTCCTTTGATGTTTCGTCAAAACACTGATATACGGTCCATTTTCTGTCGGTATTTTGAAGAAATATCAATGGAACTTTGCGGCGGCTCACACTAAGGCTCGTCAGGTCTGGACGCACTATTTAGGAGTCCCAATTTCGAGCGTTCTGTTGCATAGACAGAATTTGCCGCTTATTTTAGAAAAAGCCCAACCTATGTCACATATTTCACATTTCCTTGAGAAAATTTCACTATGAAATGATTAAGTAACCATCAAATGAATGTTGCACAATTAAAATATTGACCGATTATAACGTGTGAAATTTGAAGTTTTTTTGGTGGCTACGGTGTGTGCATGATTCTGATGTAACTGCTGTAGGTAAACAGCAAGGCGTATAATAATAATAATTGTTTGACCTAAAATGACTTACACATATTTAGTTGCCTGACAAAACTGCTCATGTTGTTATGCTTGTAGTAAACTGGCAGCATTTCATACCAGAACTGTGCTTGATTATGGATGATAAATGAATTTCCAGTCTGAAAGTTAATAAATCGTGATAGATATAGGTAATACTTCCTTGATTTTGCAACTGCAAAAAGGAACTTAACAAAGTAGGTGCATGCTCATGGAAAGCGGTCTCAACTTGCTTAGTTTGTTATACATATATTATTTATTCAGTTGCTTAAAGCCTGATGTATTGGTCGGTTAGTTTATTAAGTTTTGCCTTCTACTAGGGAATTAATCGAATTACTAGATTTATATTCTAAACGTTCGGCGAACGATTAGTAAACTCTGACCCGAAAAGAACTGTTCAATCTGGGCAACTCAAAGCCGAGTTAAAATATAGATTATTACCTCATTCCACGAAATGATATGGTCTGTACTGGAATCGTTTACCATTTTCCACAATTTTCCCAAAAATGCAGAAATATTCCCATTTTCCTGAAATGGATACATTTTGTTTTCCCGCAAATATGTCGGTCACTTTCGCTGAAACACCGCAAATCACCACAGACGAAACCTGACAGGCCTGACAGCGGTTATTTAATCGAAAGAAACCTCGCAACACTCTTCAGGTCTTGGAAATTGTTGTTTTTTTGCAAATCTAGTAAACATTTCTGGTTCGCACTAAATACAAGCAAAACCAATGCTCAATGACTACAGCTGACAATAGCTAGACATAAATAATAAATACAATGACATATGATCATTAGCAAGAGACAGAATATGTGCTATGATTATAGAGGTATACAAAATAAAGTAAATACAAATTTATTGCAATATTTAATTTAGTTAAATATATGTACTTAACTGAAATAATTATCATAATTTCAATAACGTCGACCCTTGTCCATGTACAATTCATTAATCTAATTGTATATAGACAAGAGTCGCTGCTCGTGGACGGCATGTTATCTCTCTTTACTTGTATCACTGTGGATTATGATCACTATGATCGTGCCTAAAAAACAACTTTTAGATATTTTTATTCAATGCAAATTAACGTCGTCAAATTTAGGAAGAACTATTTAACTTGAGGTAAAAAGGTATTACAGTTAGTGAAAATCGATTCTTTAATGACCCTCCAAGGACAAATTTATTTGTCGATGGTCTTGATTAAAGACATTTGAGGTTTATGTCGAACCTGATATGCTTTTTTCCTTCCTGTCTTGATCGAGTCCTTACCGAATGGAAGCTGCCTCGCAGCCGTCAGTTCAATAATATTTTGAGTTGAGTGGCTCCTATCCATCTTACAATCGCCATCAAGTGTAACAATTTCTAAATATCTACTTCCAAGGTAGGTATTGTGCTCTTATCACTAATTTCCTTTGCATGATTATTTCTACTAGGTTAGAACAAATTGTTCAATTGAACACGTTTGGTCTATGACCTAGCTTTCAAAGTAACTGTATAAAGAACCTAATAATCACAGAGAGAAGAATCTCTTGTACTCTACGGGTGAATGTATGTGTAATTTTTAGACCCAGCAGTATTGACGTAAAAAATGGCTAGAGGACAGCAAAAAGTTCAATCTCAACAAAAATCTGCTGAAAAAGCTGCAAAAATTAAAAAACAACAAGGGCATAGTGCCAACGATCAGAAAAAGGCTGCTCAGAAGGCCTTAGTTCACGTTTGTGCAGTTTGCAAGGTATGTAGTTTCGTTAAATTCATGTTCTTCAACAGCAAGTCTTTTAACACTCGAAAAAAATTCATTTCAAAGAAGAACATTCCAACTTCATCTAGACGTTGCCCCAATTGAATGCTAGTTACCTACACAAGAATTAAATATTTGTTTACGCATTTTTAATTGAATTTCAAAATTCGTTTCGATTTTGTTAGCAGTAAGATTTAGAAAAATATTATTTTTTTTAGGCACAAATGCCGGATCCGAAAACCTACAAGCAGCACTTTGAAAACAAGCACCCTAAAAACGACATGCCTCAAGATTTGAAAGATCTATGAAATCACGATTTGAGCATTATTCCAAGTATCTAAAATTTTTGGTTATTGATATTTTTTAATTTCAATTAATTATGTTACTTAATTACCTATGACCCTATTCTTTTTACAATGGATGTAATTAATCTTTATTTCATTAGCATATGTGTTGCATAGTAATTTTTTTTGTACGTTTGTGATGTTTTCCTACATTTATAAATAAATTGAAATGTTATTCTAAGAAGTACTTGCTTTTTTGCTCCTTGATTAAGGACATTTATGCATGTGGATTTTTTTGTTGAGTTAATCCAAATGAAAAAGGAACCGAAGAATTGCTTATCTGTACTATACGTTTCATGTAATAAGACAAAATAAAAGAACAATTGCTGATTTTTTTGGAGACTTCTGTCATTCATAGAACAACCTGCTCCCAGAAAATGAGGAAAAGAGGCTATACAATCTGATATATTACCACCGAGATAAAGGCTATAAAATCGTGTGGCAGACTCACTAGACTGGATATAAGAACTTCGAAGCCTAACCAGGAACTCTCTTGGCCGATTGAAACAAGATCGCGGCGACACTTTCTAGGACAGCGGCTCAACAAGTAATGATGTCGGAAAGAGACATGCCATTCTGGGAGGAGGTAAAACCACTACTTATCACAGTTCAGTTTATCCTACACCCGGTGAAGTCATACTAGCATAGGGGCAATGAAGAAGTAGAACACATGAGGACAGAAATAACTGCAACGCTTCCCAGTATAGATACTAGTTCGGCGTTGAGAAAAGATTTTTTTTCAGCAAATATACCTTTTCTATTTCCTTCCAAACACGCTCTTGCAATATTTGCATAGTGCTATGAAACACACTGTTAATCATTTTAATATAGGAATGAAATAAAAAAATATTTCTAAAATAACTCGTTTTATTCAACTCAGAGTACTACTATGGCTAGTAAATACTACACTTGCACAGTCCAAATATAAATTGTTTTCAAAATGTGACCTCCATGTAATACTTTAGACTAGAAAAGAAACGTTACGAGACAATATTTTCACTGGCTGAAATACCAATAATATAATTCCGCCACAGACCTAATGGCACTACTAAGCGACTAAAATTAACATAGTAAATAATTTTGTCCTCTTAAATCAATCAGTCTTAAAGCTATAATAACACATACTTTGCTTCGTTTTAAAACACATGGCTTTCTTTACTAAATGCAACTAAAATGCTTAACAAAGTCACACACAGCCAAATTTGCCCTAACTTTATCACTGAATAAATTCTGATTGCTTCTAGCGATTTCGTGTCTGTTTGAAGCCTTATCAAGCCCCATTTGTTTTCTGTTCGTCAATGCTTTGGTAAAAATTAAGCACCTCAGATAAATTTTCCACAGGACGGCAAAGAAAAAAATGATAAATTTACTTTCAAATATTTAACTGCAACACCAAAAATGTTATTGTTTAAGACCACTCTGTAAATAAACGATATGAGCGAAAAATTTAAAAACTTGTGGAAATACGAGGCCTATCTTAATGTCTATGGTGTTGAAATACAAAAAAAGTTTTTTGTCCATCTTGTAAAAAAATTATCTTAAAAAACTTATATTATTTTTATGCAAAAACACGCACTGACGGAAAAAGAATTGCACTCAACAACGCTTCAAACAGAAAGAGGATCGCTCGCAGCATTCAGAATTTAACGAGTTCTAAAGTGGGTCCAAATTTGTCATTGTAACGTTGATTTTGCTGAGCAGTTTATTAATAAAATTTGGGTAAAATTCAGTAAAACCTATTTTCTATACTACTCTACTAAACACAGACCCTAATAAATATAAAACCATCTCGAAATGATTTACTAATTAGCGTGCGACACATCATCGGGACGTAAACCTGAATTTTAAATTGTTCAGTAAATATCTACAATATTAACTTCAATTTTTCAACTATTTAAACAGACTTTTTCTTAACATGAAACACATGTTCTTATTACTGTTAAACGACCGAATTATTTTCTGCAAATAAAGAACCTCGGTCTTTTTTGGGCATTATACTTTGCTGATATGTATGAAAGTATTGCTCAAAAATCTATTAGCTTGGTTCCGACTATTTAATATTTTATATTGCTATTCAGTAATAGAGTATTATCAATAATATGGGTAGAGTTGTAAAAAAAGTTGATACGCGGAGTTCAGTTAATACTGCATTCTTAACACTCACAGTAACTTACTCAATAAGTTTCCATTGTTCAAATTGAACTGGGTGTTTCAATAATTACTACTAATATAGCGTTATTTAGTTTAACAATAAATTGTAAGCATCAAGCCTTCGGATAATGGCAAGGTGACTCGCTTTTAGGAATAAAATAAGTTAAAAGCTAATTTTCCGATATTTTTCAATTTTCTCATGTATGTTCCGTCAAGTCCTTGTATACTACTCTAATATATATAAAGAAAAAATGCGTAGGACTAAAAAGGGATTAATAACTGAGCACCAGCTTTCTCGAAATACCTCTAATGTGAGCTTTTCAAATCGTTAAATAATATTTTTAGAACGATTAAAAAGAAGTTTAGGTGTTTTTTCAAGCTGAATTTCCAGTATTCCACACCTAGTAAAATATACAGCGGTTTTCTTAGCTCTAACTTAACTGAATTTTTTCGACCAACAGCTAAGCGGCAGTTAATGATAAAAATTACCTTACACATCGACCAAAAAAGCATTAAGTACCAAGCGTCTACTATTAATAGTCCTTTGCATTTCCATTAGTGGTTGGCGGAGCATTGAAGACATATTTCATCAAAAACGCCTTCAGTGAGTCATATGCATGATCCAAGTTGTCATTTGTGATGATTACGTCGAAAGCTTTTGGAGACCTGCCTGTAAATTAATAAAAAAGTATTGTTTCTGCTCGTTGCTAGATGTTAGATTACTTACCATAAAGAAGTTCCTCTCTTGCTACGGTTAGCCGCTGGTTCAAGCTCTCTTCGCTTTCAGTATTCCTAGCTCTGAGTCGGGACTCCAATTCTTCCATAGACGGAGGCTCGACAAAAATATACCATGGCTTAAAGGAAGTCTTCTTGATTTGCTTCACTCCTTGTACATCAATATCCAGCACGCACACCTGCATAATTCGAGAATAGATTGAACTTTTCCTATTTTATCGGCTTGCTTTACCTTGCCGTGCTTCGCTACGGCTTCAACAGATTCCCAACTAGTTCCATACATGTTTCCGCTGAAAGTAGCCGTTTCAATAAATTTTCCATCATCAATAGATTTTTGCATCTCCTCTTTGGAAGTGAAATGATAATGTTTGCCATCAGTTTCTCCAGCGCGAGGTTTTCTGGTTGTGTGACTAACACTAAATCCAAACTTTTCCGGGAACTCCTGCATCATTCTAGTAACCAAAGTGCTCTTGCCAGACCCGGAGGGGCCGCAGAAAACTAACGGTCTGTGATATGCGGCGCACATTTTATGCATATATACTGAAATTGTTTTAAATTGGTAAATTTTTACGCACAGGGTATTTTTTTGTTCTAATTGTTGTTTATTTAGGTGAAATATAGCATTTTTTTCAGTTATGTTTAGATGAAACGGAAGATTTTCGTAATAGATGTGATTACGCACTACGTGCATAAAGTTTACAAACAATATAATTTCTAGATAATCAACTAGCAATTTTTATGTACTTAATCTGCAGTTTCCAATGATACCTATTATACTCAGATAAAGGATTTTATATCTTCTATCCATAATCAAAATGGTATTCGCTAATGTAAGCTGATATGAATTACGTTGAAGTTGCTGATATTTGTTTGGTTAAATGTTATCCATTTCAAATACATTATCTGATATTTTTCGCTGACTACAACAAATCATTGTTTGTTTCTTCGTGTGGTATGGTCGTTTGGTCGCAGTTATAGATCACAGGGTGGTTGTGTTATGTGGTTGCAGGTTGAAAAAGCATGTTCTGGTGTAGTCGTTAGTTTTTTGGCGATGTTTTTTTATGTCTATTTTCGATGGCTGATTGGATTATATTGTTTAGAAAAATTGATGTGTGTGTGTCTTGACCAAGGATTAGAAGTTAAGGATAAGCTGAAGAAAGGTACGTCTGCTTGTCTCATTGTTTTACTTTCTAAGTCATATAGTCATAGAAATAAATAATAATTATTATTGATTGAACTGATTAAGAAGTTTTCGTAATTACACCAAAGTACCTGCCCCTTCTAATTAGGTAATGTAAATTATCTTGCAAAGAAAAATTAACGTTAAATTTAAAATTATACACTATCTGGTCCCTGATTAAAGGTAAATTCGGAGAACTTACCAGAGCTCATATTGAGAAAAGTGTTTTTCATTTAGGTAACGTTCCATTTCTATCTAAATATCACTTTGGAAATGTATGTGTATTGCATGTATAAGCATAAGCAACCACCCTTGAACAAGCACTAAGTGAATTGACTAGAATATAAATCATGCATAAAAACGTCTCCTAATAAGTTGGTCCGTTGCGTGGAAGCCAAACGTTACTTTGTAATATTTTAATTATACTGACGTTAATGAGACTAGCTATTTGGTTGATTAGGCAGTTAGAACGATTTATTTATTGTTCTAGTCCGTGCTATTTTGCATAAAAAAAGCAATTGGTTATTACTGTACAAGGACAATATCTTATCATTACAATACTGCAACCAGTTAACTAACTGACTTCTTTCCATATCTGTTAACGAGTAATTTTGCAAAGCAAAAATGTCTGAATTTACTCATTTTAAATCAACTGGGGGTTTTAACATGCACGTCTCAGTTATTTCAATTTGATACTGGACTGAATGCTTGTAGAAGCTATGTTTAGTATGCAGGTACCTATCAAATAGTGATTCAAAAAATATATTTATATTAAACTCGTTTTGTCCGTCATAAAGCATCTGTACATGTATTCTTAACTTTAACGTTTTCAAGTTTAGGACAAAAATACAGCAGTCTGGAGATAGCATTTTCGTTCTCAAATAATTTATTAGTTTGCTGTTGCTTGTCTTGACAAAAATAGTCTTTTATATATGAAAATGTGGTGGGCACGTGTGAGTAACTGAAACACTCAGGACAAATTCAGGCATATTGTGATATATACAACCGATAGAATACAACAATGGTGCAGGATAACCACTTAATGATTGAATATTAACAACATTTCTAAGAATGATTGAATATTAACAACATTTCTAAGAAGGCCTTTTTTACGTTACAAGTTAATTTGCAAAATAGTGTAGCTTTTCAGCAAATCTTGCTTTTCTTAGTCCGCAAATTGAACCTTTTAGCCCTGTGGTGATGGGCTTTTTTCTTTGTTTTGCCTTTATTTACGCACTTTGTTTATGGAAGTAAAAAGTAATTTAATAAACTGTTATTGGTCGTGCCAATAAGGTGTTAAACACTTTAATTCGTACTTACCAATCTGTAGTAACTGACCAACGCAAACCGTTCACAAACTGTTTAAACTTTAATGTTCAAGAAAATGAACCGGTTCAATGAGGTTGTGCACAATAGTAAACCCAACTACCTGGATGCTATTGTGAACAGCCACGTCAATTTGAAAATGTTGGCTTGAAGAAACAAGTGTGGATTTAATTATAATCCAATTAATCCGTGAATTCACCAACGCATTGATAAATCATTGAACTTCAAATTAATAAACACGCACAGCACTTAAAGGATTTAAGATGTCGCATTCAAATGTAACCTCACAATTCACAATAGAAATGTGAGCTTCATGTGTCACAATGTGTCATAGAACATAGATAGACAAGGTCAACTATTCCGATGTTGTCAGTCTAACAAGTTAAAGCAAAATTTACATCTAATAAAAAAAATGAATAAATTATTTATGGAAAATTGTTAAGAATATAAATTTTCTATAATCGCAATAGGTAGGTATAAAAGGGGCAGATCTAAGTGATAACCAATTTTTTGTCAACCAAACTTTTGGTTATTTTATTAATATTTTTAAATATATTTTTTTAACATAATTTAATTTGACGCTTATCGGCGACAATTTTATAGCTTTTTCCTGTTTGATTGAAGGTTTTGGAGATGAGTAAAGTGAAGAAGATGTGAAATATTTTATATTTTTTCTTTCATTTATTTTGAATTAACGGTTGTTTAAATACATTTTTTGATTAACCAATAATTCTTTTTATGAACAGTTTCTAACAATGTTGTTTCTACACTTTTTACTAATCCGTAATTGTGCAATAAATTAGCAGTTTTTACAATGAAGGAAAATGCTTAAATATTGCGATAAGTTGTCTTTTGCGAAACTTATTTAATCCTTAATTATTTTTTAATTTTGAATTTCCATTTTTCTTAAGGATTGCCATTGTTCTTAAGAGTTCTTTAAGAGCATCATTCAACTTCTTCTGTTTGATTAAAATTTGCCTAAGCCCAGTTTAAATTGAAGCAAATTAGAATTTTTTAATGATATTTTCTCTAGTATACATGGTTTTCCTGTGTTTTAAACCTTTTTATTAGGATAAATAACTATAAAAGTGAACTTAAAAATCGGTTAATTGCAGAAAAATTGAATAATTCGACAAACGTTGGCAACAGGGAGCTATTACCTTTAGACATCATGTTTATTCTGCTTCCTATCCGGTAGATATCTAGGTATTTCGGATCATTGGCAACGTTGCATTGAACACGTTTTTGGAAACTGCCTCAAATATAATATATTTCGAGCCTTTGCCGTGAAGTTATGGAGTTTTAACGTGTACTTTCATGAATTATCATACATTTCTAAGTTACTTCGCGTATTACTTTTGATACATATGCCGCTAACCGGTGTTCTTACATCATAATCGACGACAAGCACTTCCTCTCGTACTTCGCGTTTTTTTTTAATTTCTCTAAGGCGAAAGGGTTTTTTTACCAATTTGTGTCGTTTTTAATTAACGTTTACGTATTATTTGCACCTTGTGAATGATTCAGGTTACTGGAGTTCTGTTGAAGCCTGTATTAAGTTGAAAAAGTATAAGAAAATTTAAATTACGCGCTCTTCACTTGCGTCAAAGTCTTGAAGTCAAATCTGTCATTGTGGCTAGGGCCATTCATTAAAGCAGGGTTTTATAAAAGAATTACAAAAATAGTGAGGATCATGCATGGTGGTTTTAAATAGTGAACTTGTGGTCAGTAGTGTGTAGTTTTTGAACAAAAGTGAACTTTTCCAGACTTCGTTATATAACTTGTTTTGGTTACTTTGACGTTTTTTCGCGAACTTAAACAAAATAGTAGTGCCATGCTTTCTTGAGCTAAACATGGTTTGTATCCATATTGCCAAATTTACTGAAAATTGTTAATTTTTTCTATCGAAAATTGCATTACTGATATAAAATGGAAACACGCGTTGGAGGTGCGAAATCTAATTTGCGGGACGATAAGCAAGATGTAGGACCAAGTTATGCACTGGCAGTTCTGAATTTCAAAAGTACCCAGCATCCTACGAAGGGAAACAACAAAGAAAATATTAAAGAAGCCTTTAAAGTAGATCCACAACCTGTCCTTGCACCTAAAGTAATTGATAAGCCGGCTCAGGCTGAGGCAGCACCATGTGACGATGATGCTTCATTTACCCCCGTCATCAGCCACAGTCGCAAAGAGCGGAAAATTGAAAGAAAAAAGCAAAAACAGACGTTGGTCAACGGAGTTGGCGATAAGCACGAAAAACACCATGATAAATCATATGACAAAAAGGAGCTCTATCCAAAGCCAAAGTTTGATAAAGATGAAAAAGACCGCGAACAAAGCAGCAAAATTCCCGAACAACAATCAGTTGACACAAAGAAAGTATTTGTAGCTGCTCCCTTACCAAAGAGCAACCCATGGCAAAAAAAGTCAAGTTCTATTCAACCTCATCAAATTGTAAATACGCCTCCAATAAACGCTCCAGCTCTTCCAGTTACTAGTAGAGTGCTGCAACCTAAGAAACAGGATGTAGTGCCTAATGGACAAACGAATGGACATAGTTCGGTCAAACCTGATGAAAAGAAGGAGCCCCAAGTAGCAAATATTCAACAGGTAAAGGCAATTAATGTTATGTTGTTTTGGTAAATTATTTTATGCTTACAGTGCTTCGGATTGATTTTTAATATCACCGGCTCTGAAATCATGCAATTTTGTTATTGTTTTGTTATTGCTTTAGGTCTCTGCTCAATTCAAGCATCTGTCAAAAAGTATCTTAGGGAAGGTTTTACATGGATTTTTTCCATGTGCTTACTCATTTTCATGCTTTATACTCAACAACATATTTTTGAAAGCTGTATCTGTGTGCTTTTCATAAAATACCGCAAAACCTAAATCCGATTCCATATTGGAATATACTATACAATCTATTTTTAACTTCAGTTATTTTTACATGTTATTTTTTGGAACATCATACTTTGAATCTAATTGCCTACTTTTCTATTATTGATAATAATATCAAGTAAATACGGTGTATATCTACTATTATCAATTTTTCTAGTAAACTTGCTAATTGATACGTTCATAGTAACCAGGCTTGAAAACCCAGTTAAAAGTCCGAACAATTTAATTGGATTTAGCAGATTGAGACGCTGTGCCCAATACGAAAAGCCAAAAAAATCACTTATTCTCATTACTTATTTCTTAATTACTTTAGTGATAATTGTTGATATCTGGGTGTAGGAGTATCATATTTTATCTATCATCTCTAGGAGTGAGCTTTTGGCGCTTGGGTTCTGGCTGATTTAATCAGGCAAGTTATTCAGCTGAGAAATAGTAACCAATAAATAAAATTCCAACAGTTTTTTTTCATTAGGAAACGTATAAAGCTTTATTTATTACACAAAAATAGTCATTTGAACGAACAAAACTCAAGCTTTTGAAAAATGAAAACTTTCAGCCTCATCAGAGCAGTCATGAGATTATGATTTTTCTATTGATTTGATTTATGATATTTCTGAAGGAAATCTTCCAGATTCGTTGCTTTCTCCTCTCTGGTTTCTATTCAACTTAAATTGTTCTTGGGAGCGTCTGTTTTTCTGTTGATAGCCTCTGCGTCCCAGCTTGCTATCGAGTAACCACGTTTTGCGCTTATTTCTGTTACAATCAATGGTTTTTTTCGGCCGTAATTTTTCACTATTTGCATGACTGTTGGGCGAGAAAGAAATTGGTTCCTTCCGGATTAATAACAAATCCTGTATGTTCGGTATGGTTGTTGGTTCAAATGTATATTTTTACCGTAAATAAAAAACACCGTTTGGATTTTTCCGGAATAATATTCTATTGAATTGCTTGCGTCACTTGCCTCATTATCGCTATTGTATAAAAATGTCGCTTTGTTCCTTGTCTTCTATACGCTCTAATCACATTTGAACATTCAAAATTTCCGAAATTAAATTAAATTTAATTTTTTTGATTAGCAAAATTAGTGAGAGTTGTTTCCATCTCTACTTAATTTTAAGTCAAGATCTGTATTGTCACAGAAAATAAATTACTTGAATGTTGCTAATGCTTTGGAAATTAGCTTTTTAAGCATTTTAGTATTATTTACGTTATTTGATCGAATCTAGATGAATATTTTGTAATATAAACACTAAACTGACTCGTACGTTGGTATATGGCCGAAGCCTATTTTTTTTTAATTGATGAGTTTACAGTTTTGATTAGTGTTAAATTACCGCGTATTGTTATTCGAGTTTCATTCACACTTGTTTACTTCTGAAAGTTTTCCGTGGTTTACATGCAGACAAGGTGAGGAACAACTACCAGCAACGTCAATTAAATATTTTTTAAATTGCTTCATAACAAATCGTTGAACTTGAACACACACGTTAACACTCCGCAATTAAAAAAAAAATGCAGACAGTTATCTAGTTAATCTAAATCTTAAAAGTAATCTAATACATATAGAAATGTTTTTCGGTCTTTAGTAATCTAATCCAAATCTAAAAAACATAATTAAAAATGTTTCAAATCGCTACTAATTTTATCTATGAAAAATGTTATCTAATTAAAAATGTTTTTTTGTGTGTAGGTATGATTTCTGCACAAGACAGTTTTTATATTATTTTATTTTTTTTCCTTTCAAAATATAATATAGCGTTGTCTCTCGATTCTTATGTTTGATGTTAACATTTCTCATGCCTTCATATTAAAAATTAAATTGTTTGATGGCGCATGATGAGATCAAATAATCTGCTTAGACTGGCGTTGCTATAAATGCATGTTATTTTTAGTGACAAGGTTTCGATGCTTAAATTTTTATCTACCACATTGGTTATCTAAATGTAAATGAAGTAAATTGAAAGTGTCTCACGGATGCAAATATGTACTCCCATTTACAAATACATGTCCTGATAGGAACTAATGTTAAAATCGAATCTGTTTTTCACCTAGTATGTGAAGAAACAGGTTTTGTGTCTTGTGGTTTAAACCTCTGTGCAAACAATTAATGAATAAATAAAAGACGCATTTAAACATATTTCTTAGGAGTTAAACAATCTTCTCAATAGTTAAACAATTTCAGTGCGTGGCACAATTTAAAAACTTTTCGTTGGCGTGTGAAAATATTGATAAATCTCGATTTAAATTGAAGCAAATAGTGTACACTTTATCTCTTTGATACCCTGGCCGCGGTAGCTTAAGTGCCAGAATCTACACTTATTTTGACTGAAAAATATATAGCTTTGAGAATACTGGACATGAAAATTCTTTGGCTTGAGCACCTGTATAAATTAGTTCTAACTGTTTAGGCTAGGTAGTGTTGCTTGGTAAGGAACGTTATGTTTTTTATTGGTTTGGTGCAAGTGCACAATTTCTTTCACAGCCATTAAAGCATTTCAGTCAGTAACTGTATCATTGTATGTATGTATATACCAAATTAACAACTGCACGCATTTATAATAACATTCTCCTTGAGAAAACCAATATTTCCTTAATCATTTCTGATTTATATTACCACCAATCATTAAGTTATTTGTTGTCGTGTTAATACTTTCCACAATTAAATTTTATTTGTTATCAATTTTTCAGTTTTCTTCTGATTTTTCTTGCTCGTGGCTTTAATACTGGTGGTTGTACTGAGAATCAGATTCATCTATCTAAATAGTAAAAAAAAATATTCTTTATCCATGGTTTAAGTTGGAGCTTTTTGTAGAAACAAAAAGCATCTAGAAAGAAACTTTTAGTTCATGTTTTTGGATTCAACATTTGTGTTCTATTATTAACTGCATTTGTTTTTACTTATTCCAAATTGTTTCCTTATACATCAGAAAAACATTGTAATAAATTTGTGGTTTTTAAAATGGTAAATAGAGTTTTGAGTTGTTTTATGTTTTAAATTGAAGCAACAAAGATGAGGATTAAATAAATTTCAAAAAAATTCAATTTCGTGTTATCTGCTAAATTTTTAGATTAACTGGCCGAGTAATTATGTAACAGATAAGATTGGAGAAACCCTATGTTGTTCCACATCAGTTTATGATTGGGTCATACTTTTGTTCTGTTTGGTTTTGCGAATGATTAACCATCCTCTTTAAAAAGCCTTCCAATTCAGTCTGACTAATTTATAGCTGCCTAGCAACGAATCATTCACCCAGTAGTAAACAGAAATGTTCTCGGGACGCTAGAATTTAGTCAATAAAAGCATTTATTTTATTCAACAAAATCATTTTTAATAAACAGGATATACTTTCAGTTCATTAAATGTAACTGTTTTTAAACCTTTGAGTGGCATTTGCAAGTAACAAGTCAAGTGCATTGATACGTTGCATAGGTAATTTGTATTTCATATTCAGGACTCCAGTTTAATCTCATAAATAGCAAATATGCATATTTTTCTGTTGCAATTTTGCCTGTTTACTAAGGTGTTGGTTTCGCTACTTGGAATTTTTTGTCGTTTGCTTCATGATATAACAAACCATATCAAATTTAGTTAGAGATAGATGACTGAATTTAATAGTTTAGATACAGTCTTTGTTTTAATCTAACAAAGTGTTATTTGGTCGGTTTTGGACTATTTTTAGAAGTTATATGAGTATTTGAAGTCATTACAATCACCGTTGAATCTTCACATCTAATTTCAAGAGTTCAAATCTATTGAATGTTAATGGTTTAAGCCAATTCAGCTAAAAGTTATATTAACTTTTGCACGATTTTATTACTATCGATTCATTAACATTTGTGATAAAAATCGTATTAAATCTATGTGCACATGTGGACCCATATTTCTTTTAATGAGTTATTAACACAGTCTCTATTGTGCTTAGCTGGTTTCTGAAAAGAAAATTCTTTGAATATTATTTTTGAAACGTTTTTATGACGGCTCCGATTAGGTAGTTCAATCTAATTAAAATACATTCTCAGTCAAAGCTTGGTAATAATGGTATCGTAACTTGTTCATCACCACATTTATGAATTTAATATTAATAGTTGGCTGCCTTAAACCGTAAGGTTGGTCTGCAATTAATTGAAATTCTAACATTTAAATCCCTGAAGGTCGTAGCTTAAGCATGTCTAAAAGTTACGCGTTATTACTTAGAAAATTAAATTCCGATCGCTTTTAATATCGTATGTTATTTCCTATGTCCGTCTGTTTGAAATTCCAGCACCAACAGCCAACTGCTCACCTGAACACCGTCTTACAATGTTGTTTACATAACGTAATAATACGCCTCGATTTGTGTCATTTTATAAATTGTGTAATTTTTCTGCACAGCGATTTCATTCATGGTTTTTTAAATTACTTCATAATTTAAGTTTGTAATAACCGATGTAGTAAATGTAACTTATAAAAATAATCCTACGATATTTTTACATCAATATTGTCGTTATCAATTTTAGTTGGTTTCGGCGCATTCGCCATGCAAATTATCCACTATTTTATCTAATTACACATCACTATTTTTATGTTTTTGTGTCATCAATCGTTTGGTTGTTTTTTAAGAACACTCGCTTCGTGAAAAATGGATGACCAGTATTTGTTTACGTTTCAACTTTGGCTCAGAAATTATGCGTAGTGGTTTTGAAAACCTACATATAAATTTATTTAAATATTCATGTTGTCAACAGTGATTTTCCTGACTAAGTTTCTAATCGGTGATTGAGTAAGAAAGTGTTAATAGTTCTAATTTACTGTCCAATGTTTGCTGATTTATGCTAATAATAATAATGCAATTGTTAATGTAAATATTCAAAAACACATTGTTTTACAGTTTTTAATCACCCAGCGGCCATAACTGCTTTTATTTCTTATACACAGTAACACGACATTCTTTATACTCGTAGTAATAAAATCTGTTGCCATACTGTATGTATGTATGTGATTAATGAGTAGTCACCACATGAATAAATCAACGCCCTTCTATTTGTATATTATTAGCCAAAGTCTGGCTTATTCGACACCTTTTTCTATACTTGAAAGATAATTCGAATGATCAATTATTGTTTTTGTTTTGCCTTGCATTTATCTGCTATTTTTAAGATTGGCCTTTGTCTATACATTTTTTAAGTCACTTTACAATTCAGTATTATGGATTTAATCAATTTTCAATATCACAAAAATCCGCGAACAGTGAACGTTTATTAGAATATTAAACAATTGAATTAAGTAATTAAAATCTGCATTAACTTATTGGCATTGAGCCAGATGCTGTTGATAGACATTCAAAACATTTAGAGAAATGTGGGTTTTATGGATTTTTCTCCATTTTTTTGTTCGAATTTTAAAAATATCAGATTTTCAATGACCCCACGGAAACAAATACAGGGGCGTTTAGTTCATCAGAATATTGTGCGGATTTATTATCCTGCCGAAACCACAGTTAGTCCGTAAATAGTGCACGATTAATTTACAAAAGTGTGCAAACTTATTTCGGATACAGTAAGATGAAATTAAATTAATTAGCACTCACTTGCCAGGAGTTAATAATTGCCGGAAATAATTGCGTAATTGGGGATTCTTGCAGTTGTTGAATCAATGTTATAGATTTTGCAATTATTTCGACGAATTCTCATTAATACCACTTTATCAGATGGAATATTGAAGCAAATTGCAATTATTTTATGTGTTACGACTCAACTAATTTTGACAATAATTGAGGTCATTTACTGCCTAAACATTAAATTTTCAACAAATTCTGCCATGAAATTGGTGCATTTTTGAGTTTTTAAACCGTTGTACCCGAAAAACATATGAAGATGAACCCTGGAGAGTTTTTCGGGCTTTCAGACAGTCGTGGTAAATAATTTATTCCTTACGTTTCGTTAGCTCGAGTGCTCGAGATCAAACAGCTCTGAAGCTGTAGGCTACTCGTGCATGCGAAACGTCAGGAAGAAATCGATTTCTGTGATGGCCGAAAAGCTCGAAAAGCGCATCAGTGGCCGTCTCTAAGGACTTTGATAAATTTCACGATATTTAGAAAGCAACACAAGTATTTATGCATACATTATATCTAAAGCTGTTGTGAACTTTATTGTTGACAACTAGATTGTACAGAGCGAATAATGGGGTTTAAATAGCGTATTACACCATTTAACTGTGATAAAATATACGCAGAAATTGTTGACATTGAATTCTTCATGCATTCTTAGTAGAAACTTTTATTAAATCGTTCAAACTATTTGTTTTGTGCACGTCACCGTATACGAAAAGTAACTGATGGGTTTTAATTCGTTTCGGAAATAAAGGAGCAAATATACAGGGTCAACCTCAATCTGTTGGTAAAATAAATTGATTGTGATGTATTTTCTGATATCTACAATATCCTATCTTATTATTATATTTGCTTTACGTTCATAATTAAAACACGTGTTTTGTGCAATTTCTTAGCGACTTGAGATAATTATCTGCAGGCGACATCAGACAGTAATGAGATTTGTAAATATCAGGTAGACTTCATAGGAAGTTTTGTTTCTATAGTAATAAAAAGCCTTATCATTATTAATATCGATATAATAACGTCATTCAATCGGTTGCGTTGTTACATTCACATACAAAAACAAATAATGTCGAAGTAGTTCTGTTCAACCGAGTATAATTATTAGTGTGTACAGCGCCATGTATTTTTGCTAGCGATAATACAACACTTTACAGTCGTTCTACAACATAACAATATCAACTGGATTTTAGTCTGTTGATAAATACATATTGCAGTTTTGTGTTATGTTGGCTTTTGGTCCTCGTAAATCGAATTGAGGAGCATCCTGATGGTATGTGATTTTGAAATTTGGGTGGGTGAAATTCATCAGAATCATCACTGTTTTAAGAATTTTATTCTGTATATGCACATATGTTTGTGTGGGGAAGATGTATTTTAGAATACATCGACTATTATTCACGTAAAAACTTCTTATGTGGCGTTTAATAAACCTGGAACAATATGAAGGCTAAGCGAAACGGAAGATCTATTTTCATCTTAAAATAAAAATAGATTGTTAACTATTAAATAACTCTGTAGGTGTGTTTATAGGCTGACGAACGGGACCATATCCTAAACATTAGTATTTGTTTTCCATTGAGCCGAATAGCAGATAAGGCAGAAACAACAAACTAACAGATATCATGTTCTTTTAAACACACTTATGGGTTTGATAATCATGCAATAAGCATCCGATATACAGGTGCACGTTATAAATCTGGTTTTATTATTGGGTACTTTGACCCTACATGTTGCCTAAGCTACAATACAAAAATCCTACATATGTAGGATGTACAGGGTTGTTTTTATATCTAATTTCAAGTTTAGGGAAAGTATTAAATACAAGTGTTGTAAATGTTAACGTCCTGTTTGTTTTAAATAATTATTAATTGACTCAAATTCAAGTGGCAATAAAAAGTACGACATTCTATTTCAAAAATGTCCCAAGGGTTTTATTTAACATTTTTCGTAAACTTCAAATCAGATCTTAAAACCGAGTGGCCAAAGTTCAATCAATAACCCTGAACATATTAGAAAAATTAAGAACACAGGATACAATTGGTCCAGACCAATAAATTAATGCCAACAAAAATCACTTTTATCCATTGTGCTCAATTCAGCTTTCCCCAATCATTTCATGAAAATGTTTTTAGTGTTGTATTATCATCTAACAACATACATGAATTGTGGTGTATTTTGAGTTACTAACAAAGCTTTTTTTGTTGCAGGCTAGTGATTTGTCTGATATTTGTGACTGGCCTACGTTAGGAGATCCTCCGCTAGAGGTTAGCTTTTGTTTATTTTTTTTCCTGGAATTCCGCTTCTTGGGCTATTTTCGTATTTTTTTGTGTACATTTTTACGTTTGTAATTATCATCAGGTCAAGATTCTTACCTAGCTATCGGCTGCCAACTCTGTATTAAAATTCATAGACACCTTGAAACGGTGACAGCCTCCATCAGTGGGCGAGCTGTGTATTATAAAAAAATTCCACAAGTTTATAAACCTTGCTGTATTTAAAAACAATGATTAACTTTTCCATGCTTTTACAATTCTGTGCATACAATTTTATGTGGATGTCACTTACATTCGTGTGAATTTTTGTTGGCTAAATTTATACATACAGGGAATTTATGATTTGTATGCCCACTTTTATACTTTAAATACTTTTACATGATCTTCAAACTATTTTAAATGACTTACATTACTATTTATTCTTTTTTGCGTTATAGATCTCACAACCCGTGCAGAAACCAGCGGATATTAAAAAGGTACTTAACTTTAACTTGTTTTCAAATTACTTACTAGTAAATTAAAATCTATTGGTGGTTTTCCAAATTTGAAAAATTTTTGGCTGAAAAAACTTACGAGGTGTTTTATTGTATAGAAGCGACCCACCAGTCCAGTAACTGCTCCTCCAGCACCACAACAGAAAGAAAGATCTCAAGTCCCTACCGAGCAGCAGCAGCACCAGCAGCAGCAATCTTCAGATGACAAGAAGAAGCCAGTTAAGCAGAAATGGGTACCCTTGGATATTGATCTTACGAAAGCCCACAAGAATGACAGGCGAAGAAATAACCACATCAACTACGATCATCGATCTGGTAAGAAATATATATATTTTTTAAAATCTAACCCTCGCCACATTTCGGTACTTCAGAATGTATAATGTTTTAATTTTGTTGGAACCCCGTTGGATTCTGCCTGGAAGGTAATTATGTACTTTGACAACAGTTAATCCAGTAGGATGCGTAAGTTTTGGCAAAAAAAATATTGTAAATAATAACATAGTTAAAAGAGACACTTGAAAATGCCTTCAGCTCGCATCATGCATAGAAAATTAGGCTTGCAAAAGTAACTGTTTAAATCTTAAATATTGGAAAATAAATCCTGTATCTGAAACACGGATTCTTCCGCGAGTTTATAAATTTGAGGGAACTTCATATTTGGTGGAGTGTCATTTAAACAAGCATTTATTTCAACGGCTCTTGATTAACTGATCAATGGGCACCGAAGACGAACCATTAACACCAACAATACAAATACATAAATTTATTGATTATAAATACAAAATATTGCTGTTCACAAACTTCATTCTAGATTAGACATTGATCAGATATTTCAAATTAATTCCACATAAAAAAAATATCTGGACAAAAACTTCAAATGGTGGGCAACCGATAACTATTACCGGACACTGAAGAGGCAAAATTTACATTTACTATTACAGTTTATATGCAGAAAACTTTTTTTAGAGAAATTAAAATAAAAATTTAACGTTTTTTTATGTAACAGTAAGATTAGATTATTTTTAAAATTAATTAATACATTTCTGGCTTAAATTTAATTATATTGTGGAAGGGAATCTTTGAAATTCTGTGATTGGCGGGATTTTGCGCAAACATTTCTATTTTTAAACATTTTTTAACAATCAAAAGAGCACAAACATTTTGAACTTTAAATATTTTTCTGCGCAATTGTTAACTAATTTTAACTTTAACACTAAGGGAACACTGTGTGAAACTTAATTGAGTGCAGTTATAAAATTAGAAACGCTGATATTGAACAAATATCCCAGTCTGAATTTTCCGAATATTTTAAAACTGAGTACAATAAACAATGGTTCTTGAATGAACGAACATTAGTAACTGCAAAGATAAATCAGCGCGAAGTTATCTAATTGAAAATTAACACTTGAAACTTTACAACTAACAAACACACAATGAACATTTATGAATCAACTACATACTGTCATTAAAAATAAAAACATATCTTAAAAAAAGATATATTTCTATGGGTATTCCGATGCATACATCAGATATCCATATATTTCAGCAATTAACAGAAATTCTGCAATTCGATGGTTTAGGAATACCGATGGCTTCTAAAATACTATTCGCCAGTTCAAACCTTAATTCGCCATTGTTAACTGCAAAAATCATGAATACCTTCCTGACATCCATATTTTAACCTTTGTTTTAACTCCATAACTTTAAACAACACTGACACAGTTTCTATTTGTTTAAAGGCTTGTAAAAGTTGAGTAGAACTAAGCAAAACAAATCACAATGACATATAATCAAAATAAGTGCCAAATTTTACTAGTTAAAGTGTAGTTATAATTTAGCCGCCAGTGGGCGTGTGGACTTTTGAACTGGCGAATTGTTCGATTTCGATGAAACAGCAACAATGCAATTGCCACTTTGACATACGACAGTTAAGTGGCGCAGGCGTATTTCGGGGGAGATTCAAAATTTGTCATTGTCAAACAGTTCAAAAGTACTATAACAAATACCAAAACTACATTTTTATAGATAAGTTCTATATTGTTAAGGCGGATTCATTTTTTTACAAACTTCTTGTGGGTATTTTGCCTCAAAAATGTTTGTCTTTAAAAAAGACAGAATTTTCTCACGTCTTTTATTACAGATTGATAAATAGTGCTCCTATTTCGCAATAAGAACGAA